TCTCCGAGAGGCCTGGACAATGTCAACACAGCCATCAAATGGCAGGCCCCAGGTGGACTATACTAGATATGTAGAAGGACAGCCTATATAGTATTTCCCTCGGTCTGGTCAGGGTCATGTGTGCTGGAAACTAATCATCCATCTTTCTTCCTGCTCCCACTTCCAGAGGGAAACATTTGGGAGTCCAAGTATATGGGGACAGGGAGACTCAAAAACAGCAGCGTGCCTTACAAATTGGCAATTAAAAAGATGATAAATGGCTTCCTGAGCATATAATCCAATATTATGGCCCTGCCACCTAGGCAGAGGATGGGTCCTGGGGCTATCACCCTCCCATTTACATGCTAAACCGCATAATCAGACTACAAGGAGTTATAAAAGTTATAACCAATAAAATTGCCAGAACTGTTAACTTACTAGCCAAGCAACAAACCAAAATGTGCAATGCTATCTACCAAAATTGCTTGGCCTTAGATTACCTACCTGCTTCTGAGGAAAAAAGTTATAAAAAGTTTAACCTAAGCAACTGCTGCCTACAGATAGATAATGAGAAGAAAGCCATAGAAGAGATCACAAATCAAATGAAAAGGACTGCTCATATCCCCGTCCAGACCTGGAATGGCTAAAACCCTGGGGAGTTATTTAGAGAACGTTTTTCAACTTTCAGGGGATTCAAAACTCTCATAAAAATGTTCCTCCTAATTCTGGGAGGTTGCTTAATCCTACCTTGCTTAGTTCCCCAGTTGTATGGTCTGTCACCGGTCTCATTGAGGCCCATAAGTTAAAAAGGACGGCCACTCATGTAATAATGTTATAAAAATGTAAACCTCTAAACCAGGATGATGCTCTTTGACCAAAAATAGAGGGGTCCGAACATCAAAGGGGGGGAATGTGGTAGGTTCACCTCCTTAAGGAAAGAAAAACAAAAACAAAACGAAACAAAAAGCCTCAAGGCAACCTAACAACATCCCTCACGACCTTGTAACATGAGGCCACTTAATTAGACTACATGTTTGTTTTGAGGAGCCTGAAATTGAGTCCTCCATTAAGAGCAACCTTGGGCTGCACGTAGCCCAGTTCCAGGAAAAGCTTCAGCTGAAGCCACCCTCAGGACCACCCTCGGATCAGCCAATCAAAAGAAATGTGTAACATTCCTGTGGTCTGAGTCAGGGCTGGGAACTGCAGGTAGTTACTCTGTACCAACTAGCCAATCACTCACTGCTTGCCTAACCCCAGGTAGGCCCTTTGAGCTCACCTTATAATTGGTCATTTTCAAAGGATTCTCAAAGGTCATGATTGGGTCCCGCCAAAAGTAATGGACGCCTCACGGATACTGAATGGTCAAAACTATAACCATGGTGTTGTACGATTATAATTGGTGCTTATGTGATGATGCAAAACGTACAACGTATGCACTGTAACACTTCCGTCCCTTACCCCATAAAAACCCTGCTCGCCATTGTTCGGGGCTTCTCCTTGCTGCCGCTGCGCCGGTAAATGGGTGATCCCCTGCTCGAGCTTGTAATAAAGACCCTTATGTACTTGCATTGGTGACGGCTCCTTGGAGGTCTCAGGAGACTCACGATTCGGGCACAACAGTATGTTACCATATATGGGAGACAAAGAAGTGAAAACTATATAAAAAAAACTATGCCACGTGGCATTTGGGGCTCATTTCTTCGGGTACAAACCCAACTGAGTGGTGCCGGCAGGAATAAAGTTGCTTCCCGGAAAGAAAAGCCTCAGTGTCATGACTCTCTGTGTGACAATCCTGTTACAAAATCATTATTCAAAAATAAAGGCATGCAAAAAAATTAAAATAAAAAAGGCATGCATATCACAACTTTTTTTAAATGTTTATTTATTTTTGAGAGAGAGAAAGTGTGAGCGAGGGAGGTGCAGAGATAGAGAGAGGGACAGAGGATCCAAAGCAGGCTGACAGCAGAGAGCCTGATGTGGGGCTCCAACTCATAAACCTTGAGATCATGACCTGAGCCGAAGTCAGACACTCAACCAACTGAGCTACTCAGGCGCCCCAGATCACAAAAATTTTTCAAATATGCAAGAACTCAAAAAATATTTCATTCTTATGTACCTTTCTCTAAAAATCTTCCTTTATTCTTTCTATAAAAATTTAAGAGTAGCACCTTCCAGTAGAACTTTCTGCAATGACGGAAATGATTTATATTTTTGCCTTCCATTATGGTAGCCTTTAACCACATATAGTAATTAAGCATATGAAATGCACCTAGTGTAACTGGGGAGCTGCACTTTTAATTTTATTAATTTAAATTAAAATTGCTACATATGGCTAGTGGCTATTTTTTATAGTGCAGTTGTAGACTATTTCACACTAAAGGGAAAGGAAAATAAATATTTTTTAAGGAACTTTAAAATTAGATGGATCTAGCTATATGCCTCTAGGCCTATGACTAACTCTATTTTCTGTCTTTTCATTTATAAAAATAGAAAAATTCCCATATCAAGGGTTTGTTGTCAAAGTTAAATGTTATGATGCCCATAAAAAGTTGAATACATGGTAAGAGCTCCATTATGGTTATTATTATTTTTTAATCTCCTAAAAAGGACAATGTTCCTGCTACCAACCTTAGAAAATGCAGAATAAGTTAAAAATATCATAGTTTAAAATGTATCAGAGAGCTGTGAAGAAGGACTTATTACCTAATTTTAGGTAAACGAAAATTCCAGAGAGGGGAGAGCCCTTCTAAGGTAAATTGATAATCACTAGCTGTTTTCTTTCCTGGAAACATTTGCTGATTTTAGGTGCAGGCTGGGGATCAGTCTTAATCAAGGCAGAGACAATTGATGGGGGCAAAGAAAATGCAGAGGAACTTTTAGTGGGCTACTGGGACTGATCGAAAGTAGAAGCGCCCCGGTGCATAGCTATGGCTAGTTTTCCATGTAGGGCATTTTTTGAGTTGAGAGCTGCCTGGGAGGCTGTGGGCCTGAACCAAAACTTTTTTTAAAGTCATGGTGCTTAGGAAACCATACCCCATTAGAGGGACACGGCCTCCTCAATCACATGGCTAATCTCTCCCTCAAGACTTCTCTCAATCTCTCCCTCTCTCTCTCTCTCAGCTCAGCAAGACATTTCTCATATTTTGAAGCGGAATCAGTTGGAGGCTAAAGAGCTAAGCTCAAAGCCCCAGAGGGAATGAACTGGAAGTACTATAGTCTTTCAGGGCTGAGGAGACAGATTTTCTATCAAAAACTTGGGCTACACCTGAGGGATGAATAAGAGGTAGAATGAGTCTAGGAGGGCAAACTTGCCAAGACCCACCTCAATCCCTGCTTAGACTGTGATGACTAGCCCCTCTACCAGCCTAACAGAGGGAAGGCGGAATCCTCACTGGTGGATGATACTATGTGGTGGCTCTACAATTCTCTTATGTACACAAGAAAACATTACCTACTGAGCATGTGAAGTGGTAGGAAAATGTGACAGATAATCAATAGAGAATAATGAATCACTGAACCAAACCAACAGATGATCAAAAGTGGAAATTAGCAAATAAGGATGGAGGGGGTGGTAGCTATGATATGAAAAACAGAAGAAATGGTTAACAAAATGAAAAAGATGGAGACTTTAAAAAATGTTTTTATTTATTTCTGAGAGAGAGAGAGAGAGACAGCATGAGCAGAGGAGGGTCAGAGAGAGAGGGAGACACAGAATCTGCAACAGGCTCCAGGCTCTGAGCTGGCTGTCAGCACAGAACCCGTTGCGGGGCTCGAACCCATGAACCGTGAGATCATGCCCTGAGCCGAAGTCCGACGCTCAACCGACTGAGTGTCCCAAAAGATGGAGACTTTCAACAGATAACTAGAATCTACATAAAATGTAAAAAATCAAAACCCTGAATATACATTATTAAAAATTAAGAACTCTGTACAGATTTGACAAATAACTGAAGATCACAGAAGAGAGAATTAGGAAACTCAAAGGATAGGAAAATAGAAAACATTCAAATTGAAGCATCAAGTGAGAAGAAAGAGGGTACAGAGTGAACACATGATGTACAAGGTCAAATAATCTTACACATGTACTTGGAATCCCAGAGGAAAGGAGGGGAATGAAGCAAAAACTACAATTGAAGAGACAATGCCTGAGAATTTCCTACTGAGCGCAGGGTACCAAGCACCCCACCCTTAATACCCATTTGTATCCATCTCCACACTATTCCAAATCGAATGTTCAGAACTGAATTCATTTCTGCTACTATATTTTCTGTCTAGACATTGTATTATCCATGTATGACTCCCCACAATTAGACTGAGGGCTTCCAAGAGGAAGACTACTTCGTGTTTACGTTAAAAAAAAAAAAGTTTGTTGAGTGAATAGTGCTTCATTATAGCAGGCTGAAGTCACTTTCCTCTCTTGTAAGTAAGAAAATAATAGTTTTATTGAACACTTGCTAAATAAGCACTTATAGGCCAGACACTGTTGGGTGCTGGGGCTATAACGTTAATAAGACCCAGCTTTGCTTTCCAGGGGAAGTTCCCTGAGGCCAAGCAGAGATGAAGAAGCACATTACTATACCAACGGAAAAGATCACGGGAAAACCAGAAAAGAAAAGCTTGGGCCAAGCCTTAAAGTGCATCCAGAGCAGGAATGTAGTCTTTCGCTTTTGGCCAAAGGGAAAAGGGATTAGCGGAGGGAGCGCCCATATAGTAGTTGTGGTCTGCCTCGGCCCTTTTGGGGTTATAAAGTTGAGAGGCGGCTGAGCAGAGAAATCTCAAAGCAACCCTGCCGAGCCTCTCCTATTTCCAGATACTTTTTCTACCAATCCTCCTCCCCGCAGGGAGGCGCCCGTAAGGGTCCAGGTGGCGCGGCAGGACGCGGCAGGCGGACGTCCCGGGGGCGGGGAAACGTGCCGCCAGAAGGGGAGTGAAGGCGAAGCCACGCCCCCAGCGCCAGGCTGCCACTCTCTCTTCCGCTGCTCGCACGGGGATCGGGCGGGGCTGAGGCGGAAGGGCACGGAAGGAGGTGACGATGTAAGTGAGCGCCGGCGTCGCGGCGGCGGCTGCAAAGGAAGCTCGGTGGCCGTGGCCACTGTGAGCAGGCCGGACGCCTCCTCGCTGTCCGGGGTCCCCTAGAGCTGGCGAAGGCGGGGCCTCAGTCTGAGCTGCCGCAGTATCTGAACCCGCGGTGGGGCAGGTGCCGGCAGCGAGGGACGTAGGTAAGTGGGAGCCCGGGTGTCAAATCGGGATGACTTACGGACCGGGCTTGCTAGCCATTCCCGCGCCAGTGCGCGCCAGCTCAGCACCCCGGCCTGGAGGCCTCGAGCGCTGCCCTCCCCCACGCCCGAACCGGAGGCAGCAAATTTCTCCTTGGGCGCTGCTCTGCTTTTCTGGGGGCGGAAGGGAGCTCGTCCCGGGGGACCGCTGGCCTCCCTTTTCCTCTCCAGTCTGAACTGTACGATGCAGAAGGGGAGAAAGCTAGCGGCCCTCCTGAGGCCGGGGAAAGGTTTGAGGGGCAGAGCTGCTGTTAGAGGTCCTCCCGCTACTGCCGTTTTGAAAGCCGAGAGTTTATATTTGTTCGGACTTTTCTGCTTCCTTCCTGCTTTTGGTTCCTTTCCCCTCACACCCTTAGGATCCTGTTGTAGCTAATGGGTATGGCACAGTTAAACACTAGGATGGGGGAAGGTTGTTTTCTATCAGGCTTTCTGTTTTTCTGTCTCTGCTGGGCAGTATCAACCCCCTTTCCACTGGGCCACTCTGTTAGGGGAGGAGGGACGCCAAGAGGATGTGGAAATGAAGGTTTTGTACTTAAGAGTCGGAAGAGCGGAGTGAAAATCCTAGCCTGCCATTTGTTAGTGGTTTTAATCTCCTGCTAGACACTTAAGATGTTTTTAACCACATGTAAAACGGAGCTTTCTTATACCTACATAAATTGGGAGAATGAAGAGAAGTGAAAAAAGCAGAACGTCAGCCATTAAACGTTTTGGATTTAAGAATATCCTCGACATTTAATTGTAGGTTCTTAATTACGTCTTTTACTCAGAATAACTCTGCTTGCTATGGAGGAGGGGGGCAGAGGAGAAGCTAGTATCCTGTGTGGTTAGAACCTAACTGCAGGCTCTGCTTAGGGTTGGGCAGCATTAGGAAGAGGTCAGACTCTATCCTAGCCAGCCAGACATCTCATGTTTAGTGATGAAACATTATTGGTATATGAGGAATAACCTAAATCGGTTTTGCTCCTTACTCAGATAGTTTTGTCGTGGGCCCTTTCTAGGAAGAAAAGCTGGAGGGGCTTTATTTACACTTTAGCCCGTTTTTGAAGAAATTCTTTGCACATCTTTCTGAGGTTCCCCCACTCTTCCTCTAAAACACTTCGTGTTAATTGAAAATGTGCAGAGAATAAAAACAAGAACTTGGCCCTTTGAGTGGCTGGACATTACAGCTCTGAGTTAATCTGAGGAGCTGCCTTTCTCTGTATTGGAGAGAGTAGAACGTACACCACTCTGAAGTTTAGTTTTTCTTCTTTTTTTTAAAAATGTTTTATTTATTTTTGAGAGAAAGACAGAGTGTGAGCAGGAGAGGGGCAGAGAGAGAGGGAGACACAGAATCCGCAGCAGGCTCCAGGCTCCGACCTGTCAGCACAGAGCCTGACACTGGCTTGAACCCACGAACCGTGAGATCATGACCTGAGCGGAAGTTGGAGGCTTAACTGACTGAGCCACCAAGGCGCCCCTGAGTGGCTGTTGAGTAGACTAAGTTAGAGAAGCGTTTGGGAAGGAGGGAGCAGATACGCAGTCAAGTAATTTGAGTAAATAGCACCTGTTGTTACAATTGCTTGTTGAGACAAATTAAGGATGCTTTCTTTTCCTCAGTGGAACATGACAGTGGCTGCCATGTAGTATGTAGCCAAACGCAATCTTCACTTCCTTTGACACAGAATTGTCACTTGGAAATTTTAACTCAAGGACGCAAAAGGAACCTTGAGGGTCATCTAATCCAGTGGTTCCAAAACCTCACTGGGCACTGGAATCCTGGGTAATTAAAACAAAACCCCAGGTGCCTGGGCACTACATCCGTAGAGGCACATGGGTATTTGTGGTCTTTAAATAGCTTCTCAGGTGATACTCAAGTTTTGAAAACCCAGATGTAGAGCAGGTTTCACATATTAGCTTCTAAACAGACTGAGAGAAGAAATGTAATGCCTTACTAGTTTGTTACCTTCCCTAATTTTTAAATTTTTTTCTTTCTCTTCCTTTCCATAACAAATCACTTCACTTGAATCAGTAGTACTCTTTTGTACTACCTTGAGCCCAGAAGAGAAGTCCTTTAAATCAGTAGCTCTGTATAATTCTGTTTCTATGCATTAACACTCCTTAAAGCTCTTTGATGAAATTATTAACCTTTACAATGAAGTTTCTTACTAAATATTACTTAAAGGGTTTTTTTGGGGCATAATTATATAAAGGTTCTATCACTTTGTAAATCAGCTTTTTAGTAGGCTTTTATGCCAAGCTTTCACAAACCATTGGAAAATTCCAATTTAAGAAAATTTTGCTGTTGTTCTGACTTAATCATAAACCCAGTGAACTATACACAGGCCTTTTTTTTTTTTTTTTTTTTTTAAACCCCTTCCTCCATCCTCGTATGTATGACCCCTTTGTATCACTAGTCAGCTTCCAGTGGAACACAGTGTGAGAACTGGGCTCTAAATGTCTCTGATTGCTTTATAAATGCCTAATTTAACTAAAGGCTTTTGGTATTTAAGCTTATTCTTGTATTTTTAGTCCCTTTTCCTTTCTTGGTTAAGTTGTAATGTGCCATTGATTTAAATAATTTGATGGGGCACCTAGGTGGCTCCGATGGTTGTGTGTGTGTGTGTGTGACTGCATGATCTTGCAGTTCATGAGTTCAAGCCCGGCATCTGGCTGTCTGCTGTCTGCACGGAGCCTGCTTTGGCTCTTCTGTCCCCCTCTCTCTGCATTTCTCTCTCTCTCTCTCTCAAATAAACAAGCATTAAAAAAAAAAAAGAATTTGATAGATGCCTGGAAAGGATCAACTGATTAGGCAGTATCAGTATTTCATGTGTATTTTTCTTCTAGTGAAAACCTCTTGACTTTTTTAGTTTTTTTGGGGGGGTAATATTTTCAGAATTACTAAGGTAATCAGAGTTGAACGTTCTCTTAGGGAGATATATTCAGTCTCCAATTATTCTTCAGTAACCTCGTTGCTTTAGTATTCCTAATCTGTGTTAGTAGGAGAGCCAGAAATGGACCCTACATCAGAAATCCTATGGAGTAGGATGCTGAATTTCTAAAAGCGACCCTGCTTATAGCATGTTAAATTCCTACAACCAGATGACAAAGGGCATTCTAAATTTGCTAATTTAAAAAAAAAACAAAAACAAAAACATGTTAACAGGGGTGCCTGGCTGGCTTAGTCAGTAGAGCATGCAACTCTTGATCTTGGGGTCATGAGTTCAAGTCCCACATTGCATGCAGAGATTACATAAATAAATAAATATTTTTTTAAAACCCCAGGTTAATAGATACATAGTCTATGAATTCAAATCTAGAGAAACATGATACGTGTCTGAAATGAAAAGCCAAGTTACTGAGTCTCTAAATTTTTTTATTTTTGTGTCTGAAATACCATAATCCTGAGGTTTTAGAAATTATTGAATTTCAGGGGCGCCTGGGTGGCTTAGTCGGTTAAGCATCCGACTTTCGCTTAGGTCATGTTCTCGCGGTTCGTGGGTTCGAGCCCCGCGTCGGGCTCTGTGCTGACTGCCAGCTCAGAGCCTGGAGCCTGTTTCAGTCTGTGACTCCCTCTCTCTCTGACCCTCCACTGCTCACGCTGTCTCTCTCTCTCTCTCTCTCTCCTAGAAATAAATAAAACATTTAAAAAAAAATTATTGAATTTCAGATTTTGACACAGCAAAATTTTCAAGTTAGAGGCACTTAAAAAGGATAAATGTGAACCCATGGCTCCAATTTTAATCTAAACTGATTACAGATTTAACATAGAGATGGGCTGAGCATTAATAACTTGAAGACCCAGTGAAAAGTGGAGTTTTATAGAAGTCATTTGCTGGTCTTTGAGGCAATCTTCTATGTCTGTGAGGACTTGAGAACATAATTGGATACCTTTTGTTTTTATTAATTAAAAAATTCTTTTTTAATGTTTATTTTTGAGAGAGAGAGAGATAGAGACTGGGCAATCAGAGGAGGGGCAGGGAGAGAGAGGGAAACAAAAAATCTGAAACAGGCTCCAGGCTCTGAGCTGTCAACACCGAGCCCAGTACGAGGCTCGAACTCTAGAACGGCAGGATCATGATCTGAACGAAAATCAGGTGCTCAACTGGACTGAGCCACCCAGTCACCTCTAATTAATTAATTTATTTTGAGAGAGCGTGAGCAAGGGCAGGGGAGGAGGAGAGAGGGAGAGAATGAGAATCTCAAGGAGGCTCTGCACTGTCAGAGAGGAGCCTGATGCAGGGCTACAACTCACGAACCATGAAGTCATGACCCAAGCCAAAATCAAGGGTTGGATATTCAACCGATGAAACCACCCAGGCACTCCAAGACCAAAATTGGATATTTAATCAACTTTTTCTCTGATGGCTGAATGTGATGAAAGTATCACCAGTAGGTTCCAGAAATGTACAAGTCTCCAGTTCTCAGTCTGTCTTTTTTATGGTTCATGTACCCTGATGCCAGTGGGTATCATTTTTTTGTTTTCATTTTGTTTTTAATCTTGTTTCCTATCACAAATGATTCATTTTCTCATTTTTCTGGTGTAAGCAACCCCACCTTTGTTTATTTGCTGTACAACAACTCTTACTGTCTTAATACCTCTGCTAAAAAGAATTTTTTGATAGCAGTACTTGAGAGTTAACCTGTATAGTGGTTACACTGCAAACTTTTACCTAAAATGGGACCCCTTGTGGATTGTTCAGATTAAGGGCAGTCTTGGAGTACATGAGTATCTTATAAAAGTTGAAAGCTCATTTCTGTTTTCTTTGTGTATTTTATATTTGAACAAATGTTGGTATTTGGTGAACATGAACACACAACAGCAGTGTCAGGAATACTGGGGCAGGAATGTAGAAGGACCCCCTGTGGAGATTGCTTTTAATTTTAATTACATGTGCTGTGAGTGCATGCTTGAGATTTGATTTTAGGGTGCACTGGATGGACTCTTATTAGAGAACTTAAGTAGC